AAGTCGGTCAAAGTTCTAGTCAACTCTGGTCAACAATCAACATTCGACTATTTTACACAAATATCACCCTAACATATATTAATTACAAAATTAGCCACTTTCTGTAAATATTTATAAAACTAACACCCGAATTTTACACAAATAGCACCTAAACTAAAATTAATTACAACCAGACGATGCCCACTCTCGGGAGTGGCGCGTGAAGCGCATGAACAGTGATATGACGTCGCAAAAATTCCTGAAAATTATTTTAAGCGATTTTGAGGCACTTACAAAGCTCGGTTCACAATTTTAAACGGCGGAGAGCTCGATTCCGAAACGTCGAAAACTTTGACGGTCTCACACCTCCATGCGCCAGTGACGACGGAGAAACAGAGAACACCGGTGGACTCGGAACGATGCAAGGAACACGATGGTGTGGGAGGTGTCGTAAACGGATGACCGGATCGTCGTGAATCGACGAAAAACCAATTGAAATCGAGTTATTACCGACAATACTTCCGACTAAAATTAATGACGAACGGTGACGATTCATGACGAAAGGTTTGAGGGGTTTTGTTCCTCGGTCGACAACGAACACGATGGTGTTTTCGGTTCGTCGATCGGAAGTCGGACGACGAGTAGATCAGAGTTGAAAAGAGGGTTGAAGGGGGAGGGAAACTAAGAAATTAATCTGCAGAAATAGGTGTTATAATTCATCCCAAAAGAAAAAGTTCAAATCCTGAGTTTAGTCACTGAATTTCTTACACTTTATAAAACAGTCTGTCAACTTTGAATTTTTTAATTTAATCCTCAATTTTCTTCCAAAATTCCAATTAAATTCACCACTATATAATTTCTTAAATTTAACCCCTAAATTGGGGTGTTACAAGTCCGGTTGCCAAGTGCGAATTTATGGTCGGTGAGTATGCAGTAAATTAGTATATATATTTGGTGCAACATGGGAAGCACAAGACAAGCAAGATGGCAGCGGAGGGCAAAAAGAGAGCTGTTCTGGTGGGATGCAATTACCCCAACACCCAATACAGGTTGCATGGATGCATCAATGATGTGCTTCTAATGGAAAATCTGATTCGGACCAGCTTTGGGTTTGATGCAAAGAATATTACAGTCCTGACTGATGAACCAAGCGCATCGCCTGAGGAATTGCCTACTCATGTAAACATTAAGGCTGCCCTCAAGAAGATGGTAAACGAAGCTGAAGCCGGAGATGTGCTGTTTTTTCACTTTAGTGGCCATGGAACAATCATCCCAGTTGGTAACCTTCGCCGTAGATCTTGATTTCTTCGGCTTGAGGGATATCAAACACCATGAGCTTGGTTAATACTTGCTATTCTTGGCTGCCATTGTTGCACATGCAACACAAATACACACTAGTTTACTTTAAAGTTACCATGTGCACTCACGTCCTTAAACTCATAAATTATGAGTAATAATTGAACTCAACGTCTAATTTTTTTTTTAAATAGTATAGAATGATTATAATCTATTTAGAATATCTTTTAACTATTGACAATATATATGTAGAATTTTCAAGAAATTCAACAATATTCTAGACTGAATCTGCCGATGAAACTTGAATGATGTATTTGAAGGCTCTAATGAACTCCGAAACTATATAATTATTTGAATATTATACTTTTAAGGAAACATTTTTTCCAAAAGTTAAGATTCCTGAAATATTTTTTAAAAGGGAAAATTACACAAATGATCACTTAACTATGAGATTGGTGTTGATATGACCATCATACTTTTAATTTTGACAATATGACCATATAACTATTCCAGTGGTTTCAATCAAATCCAAATGTCGTTAATATTTAACGGAAGTATAGATGTGGCAGTTAACAAAATTAATATATTTATACATTTGATCATTAATACTTATACATTATCTCAATTTGATCTTAATTTTAATTTATTTCAATAAATTTAATTCTTCAATCAAATTGTGAAACATGTCCCCGCTTGATTAAAGAATTTTTTCTAATTTAATTTAATAAATTTTTAATCCAATCAATTTGGAAGATGTTTAACATCGGAAGGAAACGAACCCTCTAATCAGATTCATTTATTCAACATCTATCTAAAATTAATTCTTAAATAATATCTTGTTTACATATAAAATGTTACGTTTTTTTAATATTTTTTCTCACACTAACACCTAAAATTAAATTAAAAGAAATGAGAATAATATTTTTTAAAAAAAAATATATGAAGTTTATTAAAAAGAAATAAAACACATTATATACTTAAATTATATAATTTCTTAATAAAATTCATTTGATGTGATATATTTAATTAATAAAATATTTTATTAGTAAATAATATTGTTTGAATATCATTTTAATAAAAAAATCTTTTAATATTACTCATAATAGTATCGAGTTTTTTTTATAATATGAGATGATTGCAAGATAGTATTTGTTTATAATTTCTTTTAGCTATTGTCTCGCACATATATCCTGTAGACACAGATACTCGAACTTAAAACTTCAAAGGAGAGAAACATTTCATTTAACTACTAAAACCACTCAATGTGTTCGTATTATTGAATTAAAGTTTAGGGCTATATTTTAAGGCTCTATAGTTTGGGCATGTTTGTTGAAATCAACCATATAATATATTAATGTTTTGGGCTTATAGCCTTATAGGTGAAATGGAGTCGGTCCAATGGCAGCTCAAAAGCTTAATTAACATATGCCGCCGCTTTATTTTTGGTGTTTTAGGTTTGTGCTTGTGCTTCTTTCTCTCAACCAAAAATGACTGCTCAAGCCGACAAAGAGATCGAGGAGGTCCTCGCTGCTCATCTCGACCAACAAAAAATCGATGTATATATTCCTAAAATTAATATTTGTTCTTTTTCTATTTTTTTTCTATTTTTATTATTTTCTTCTGATTTACAGTCGGAGCAACCTGAACAACTTGTTGTTGAAGATGACGATGAGGAAGAGGACGAAGAAGACGACGATGAAGATGATGCCGAAGGTGAATATCCATTTTCTATGATTCTCTAAATCATTTTTTTGAACTTTTTCAAAAACTTGGGTTAAAATATTATGAACGATGCTGATAATATAGTGCGTGGATTTTTATTTGATCTTCGATTTATATTAGGAAATATGCTTAAATCGTCTATTAGGATTCATTTGTTTCTGAGTTTGATTTCTAAATATTCTAATCTCCAACTTGACACACCAAGTAAGTCGAGCGCAAATTGTTAAACCAGTCGATCTAGCCGAATACACGTCGATTTGAGCTTGTTGAACAACTTAAGAAAGCAAACTTTGTACTCTTTTGACTTGGATCTACTCGATTTTGCTCCTACATGGTATTACTTTAACAGCCATTTGATTTGTTGGTAGAATGTTGGACTCTTAGTCCCTACTCCCGAGATACCCTGGCAATTTTGATCGTTCCAGAAATGTCTTACTTTTGAGCTGTGTTTTATAGTACTTGTGTGTAACCAAGCCATTCAGGCTCAAAATTGCTCAATATTGTTGGCTCGAGCTTGAATATCTTAATCCTTGACCTAAGTAGCACGTGAACCTAATATTTACTCGAATACTGAGACGTATATTTGTGTGTAAATTTTTATATATGACCAACATTCGCCCTTTTCGTATTGTTTAACGCTTTCCATTGAATTCTCAAAATACTGAAAGGTCTGAATGTTTGATATTGCCTTGCATGAAGTTTTAGGTAAACTGCAATCATATGAGTTTTCTTTTTTACCTGCGCCTTGCAAAAAGCGCACCTTAGTTATTGAACTGTGTCTATGGATCACTGTGTTTAGAATTTCACATTCAGGGAAAATAACACGTTGATGAGTTATCCGCAAACGAATAATTTTTTATTATGTTATGTCCTAGGACATCATGATGGAGAAGGTGATGGAGCTGGTAGGTCAAAGCAAAGCAGAAGTGAGAAGAAGAGTCGCAAAGCTATGTTGAAGCTTGGGATGAAACCTATTCCTGGTGTTAGCCGGGTCACTGTCAAGAAGAGCAAGAATGTAAGTCCTCTTTTCATACAGTTTTTAATCGGCGATCCTTGTTTGGCATTAGGTTCATGTTTTGCGATTTTGATTCTTTCCACTGTCTAGTCTAACCATAATAGTGGCATCCATTATATCTGCAATCACGATACATGCAACACAGTCGGAATTCTTTTGATGTAAAAGGGACCTTAGTCATTGAGATTCTGATTCTAAATTTGAACAAAACTGATGTCTGGATTATATTTTGTTTTTGTTTTAAATTTGATAACTAATTTTCCGTGATGAATTCAGATCTTATTCGTCATCTCAAAACCAGATGTGTTCAAGAGCCCAGCATCAGATACGTACGTCATATTCGGAGAGGCCAAGATTGAGGACCTAAGCTCACAACTACAGACTCAAGCTGCTGAGCAATTCAAGGCTCCGGATCTAAGCAATGTGATATCAAAGCCCGAGACATCGACCAATGTCCAGGATGACGAAGAAGTGGATGAGACCGGTGTCGAGCCCAAGGACATCGAATTGGTCATGACACAAGCAGAAGTTTCCAGGTCAAGGGCTGTCAAGGCACTCAAGGCTGCTGATGGTGACATTGTTTCTGCTATAATGGAGCTTACAACCTAATCATGTTGTTCTTTGGTTTCTGAGAGTTGTCTGGCTCAGGTCAAATGTCCCTTATTTTACCGATGTTATATTTTCTATTTTCGTGTTACTGTTGTACTATTAAAACCGTGTTTGGAGTACATTTCTGTTACAAGAATGATCTCGGTTTTATAATTTTTGATTCTATCCGTGTTTGTTACGATCATAATTTTATGATTCAATTGGACTATGATTGTATCGATTATATTTGCAACAGAAGTTTTGGCAACCGCAATCTATTTATCAATTATGTTTACAGATACTCGTATTTGAAACTCACAAACACTCGATCAAATCTGTGTATGCCGAGATCGTACTCACATCTGCATCTGTGCCGAGAACATTGTTATAACATCTTAACTGGTAAAACTTGAACTTGGGATATTATTGCTGAACATGATTTACGAACTAAGCTCATTGCAAGCACAAGAGGATAACCAAAATCTAATGTATTGAAAGAACAATGCCTCTCTTCAGAGACCCGATTACAAGCGGACTCGAAGCATATCCACAAGATAGACTGGTTTGATTGATGTCGATCGATCTCGATTTTTGTGTTCAGGGAGACACAGGAATGATTCCAGAATGATTGGAACTCTCCCAAACCTCAATCCCTTCTACATTTTCTCTGCTTACAAACAATCTCTCTCCACCTCCTTCAATTCTCTTTATCATCCCTCTCTCAGCATCCTCTGCCTTATCCACATAATTCCTCTTGAAGCACACCTCAGGTCTTCGGTTTTCGGTATCCGATATTTCCAGAGGCATAATAGTTTCATACGATCCATTCTGTCTCGACCAAACCTCGAGTCCTCCATCCTTCCCCACGAAAACCTGCCTCTTATAGCAATGCAAATGGACGTCATTTCCACTATAGCTGGTTTCTCTCATGCTAGGATTTGTATCTTCCATATACACCCAGGGATCATCCCCTAATTTTCGAACATCTGCCATTGCCAAGTCTCCAGATTTTGAACATATCTTGAAGAGGATCGAATCATCGGTGTCAACATCGATGTCGGCGAACGAGTCTCCAAACCTACTGCTCCTGCCTGAACCCGGCTCGTTCGTTTCCCAAACCACCTCCTTGCTTCTCGGGTCCCATATCCTAATGTAACCGGAGTAACCAAATGCCCCACAAGTGACGGCACTCCCGATAATCAAACCAGTTTCCGGAAGCCATGACAACTTCCCGGGGACTGTGTTCTTGGCGGCGCTTCCCGATTGGCGAGTCAACTCTGATGTAACCCGGAGCGTTAATTTATCAATCACGAGGACGCTGTTTTCTCTATGGGGACAATCGAATGATACGAAGATCGAGTCAGGTGAGTTAGCGATGGCGCTGACTCGAGCCTTGTATATCCGTGGATCGTCCTGGTCGGTCCAATGGACTGAACCGGTATAGTGCCCGCTGAAGAGGTCGTAGATATGGAGACCCGATGTGGATTCGGATCCGATAGCAGCTATCTCGGGCCATACCCGGCAAATCGAGGTGATATCATCGAGATGCGTGCGCACGGCGGCGGTGTAAGATAAGTAGGGATCGTATATTGAAATCTGACCACCGTGAGCGATCCAGAGTGAACCATCTTCTCCGGCGGAGAAAGTGGAAGGAACAGCGTCTGAAGCCGGACGTATAGTATCGACGATGGAAGCGTCTATGCCCCGAAGCGACGATGGCAAAGAGGCAGAGCGGAGGCGAGACTCAACACCGTAATAGAGAGCCTCCTCGGCGAGTTCCTGGATAGAAAACCGGCGGAGAGAGGTGGAAGGGAGGCGGTTAGAGCGGAGGAGGGAGAGAAGAACAGAGAAGATTTCTGGGTCGCGGTCGATGAAGATAGGGTTAGAACGGGGAAGAAAAGGACGGTTGGAGAGAGCAGCGAGGAGGGAATCAGGACCGGCGGAGTGGAGGGTGGAAACGGTGGTTTCGAAGAACCTGCCGCCAACGTTGAGCTTTATGCGGCGGCCGGGAATCATTGGGTTGGGAGTTTGGTCAGCCATTGAAGCTCATATAATCCAATGATTGAAGCTAAGATTCCCTTTAAGAAAATCACTCTGGCTTTTTAGCTTGAAAGTTAACGCTTTTGGTTAAATATACAATGAGAAAATGCAGGAAACCTCCCCGAAATCATCGACTTGTACACTGCTGGTACGCGGTTGTTCCATTTCCCTCGAGCATTTTTCCAACATTTCATAAGCAAATTTAACTTGATGAAGTATTGCCACTTTAATTAAAGATAAAATATTTTAAGTTTCTTTATACATAGATTTCAAAGATACCAATCACATTGAGACTTGGGTGGTAATTGTTAATTTATTTATTAATTTATAAATCATGTCTTACTTCTCTATTTAAAATATATATATAATTATAATCGTAGAATTTTAAAATAAAATATTCCATTTCCCTCGAGCATTTTTCAACATTTCATAAGCAAATTTAACTTGATGAAGTATTGCCACTTTAATTAAAGATAAAATTTTAAGTTTCTTTATACATAGATTTCAAGATACCAATCACATTGAGACTTGGGTGGTAATTGTTAATTTATTTATTAATTTATAAATCATGTCTTACTTCTCTATTTAAAATATATATATAATTATAATCGTAGAATTTTAAATTAAAATATTTTTAACCATTTTTATTTTGGGAGAGGAGAAGGAGAATTTTACTCCTAATTAATGTTGAACTTACAATCTAAGGAATAAGAGAAGCGTAATTAAGAATTTTTAACCATACGCTTTAGAGATTGTTGGCAAGATAAAATATTTTCTCATAACCTTAATAACATTATGTGTATATATGTAAGTATAAAGGTCATATAATATACAAAATAATATTTTTCATTAATTATAAAATCACACATTAATACAATATATACCGATTATAATACTTGGTCTATAAATATGTGACAAAACCTCTCCTCAAATTAGAGTACATATATTAATTATATCCAATTTATTACATAGATAATCAATTTAAACTCTTTAAAAACTTATATGAAAATATCTCTTAGTTGATCTAGATTTCTCATAGTCGATAGTAATCAAACATTATTGAATCATTTCACAAATAAAATAACAATCAACTTCAATATATTTCTTTCATTTGTGAAGGATTCGATTACAAGTATTGTGAAGCACAAATCACATCATAGCTTCTCAAGTATTGAAACCTTAATTTCTATTTCATTAAGGAGTTAATATACTCGTATGATTTTACACATTGACTTAATCATAGCTTTGTATTCGACTTTTGTACTAATCGGCAAGACCTTGTTATATCTCTTGAAATCAAAATTTCTCCGACAAAAAACACTATCTTAAAGTAAATATCTTGTCTTCCTAAAATCATTTCCATTCTCAATCTAAAAATATTCAATCCCAGTATGACCTTTTTTAAAAAATAATAATACAACATTTGTTTTAGTGTCTTCTAATGATTAACTTTCAAGCTATACAAATAATTCACTTTCTATAGTTAATTGTATATTGAGAGACATTAGAATACTACATAGTTTAACATCTAATTTTCTGATTCCTATAATATATCAAACATATATCTTCTTTGTAATGATTTAAATTGTTAAGTCAATATTTGAACATTGATCCAAACTGAGGAATTAGTTAATTAGGACATTTAAAATTAAACCCAATTAGATATAAAAAGTGCTTTTAGAATTGAGAAATAAAGAGAAAGAATGTGCTATTTGGTCATGTTTTAAAATGATGGTTACATTTCATTTATTTGATTTTTTTTTTTGGCTAATATAGAACATAAATAATACTTGGAGATTTGGCATAGTCTCTTGAGTAATAAGGTTCAACACCGCAGACGGAGCTTCAACAAAAAGGGTCCCTCCATGCAGTTCGCGCCTCTCCTGACTGGTCGAAAGATCATCTCCCAAGTACGTTCCAAGTTTAATCTTATGGTATCAACCAAGGAAACGCTGCATGAATGATTCGGAACTTTGTTTAAATTAGGGATAAATATTTGAGAGGGAGTTCATTGTTCTTAATTGTAGAGTTAACCGTTCACCCAAGATGGACAAAAGTAAGAATCATCCTCTCCATCTTAAGAGCTAAAGGGAATTTTCGAGGGTTTATTAGTTTGAGAGCTATGTGGAATTTCTATTTCTTTTGTACATTTTTCAAACGCTGCCATCACAAGCAAGCTAGAGACAAGATATTACAACAGAAAACAATCATGTCAAAGCATGAGAAAGCATAAGAAAAAAACAGATAAATGCTAAAAGCACGGGGCCATCTATCAAGAGCAAAGCCTTGCAGGGCATTCCAGCAGAAAGCATTGACAGGCATTTATATTCGATACTACGAACACAAATGAAACAGATAAAACAATATCAACAGTTACAATAGCTAGCTCTATTTCAGGTTCTCACAGATGCGAACCCGGGTTCATCATAACAAGAGAAAACCCAAAAATGAGTGTCAACATATAAATTAAATATATGAATAATGCATATGGATAACACTAAATGTAATGCTGCTATATCATATTATTATATCAAATCTTGACAAGAATCTAACCTCGAATAACATGGTCCATTATATGGACAAATCCGATACAAAACAATAACCAGTCACGAGACAAAATGTGATAGTCTAGTAGCCACATTTGCCACCTGAGCCTGCATTTGAGCTTCCTTAATTTTTGCAGCAGTAGCCCTATGAAAGAACTGCTCCCTTGACAACAACCTCACATTCCTCAGATACTGATCGAATGATACAGCCCCGTCTTGCACTGCCTTATCCAACGAATAAACCACATCCTCGATAGCTAAATCAGTAGCTGTGCAGTCCAACATTTGTTTAGAGAGAACATCGACGCAATGAATCGCCTCGTCAACATTCACATTATTCTTCTCTAAGTCCTTTGTTTTCCCTTCGTTATCTCTAATCCAACTATCCAAAACATCTGTATTCATCAAAACAACCTGTAATTGCCGCTCTAAAGCTTCCTTTTCATCTTGCATCTCTCTCAACCCTTTATTAATCTCCTCCTCTCTTCTTCTCAACACCGCTTGAGCCGAAAACAACCCTTCCATTTCAACTTCCCTAGCTTTTCGCATCCTAATTAGATCACTATGAACAAATTCCACCAGTTTATTTGTCGCATTCCTCTTATAAACCTCGGCAGCAGCATCCGTCGAAGTAGGACGAGGTTGTGAGTGTTGTGGAGGTTGTACCCTCCCATACGGAGATGGAGGATACACTCCAGCCGCCGAGTGAGCCACCCTAGGCCCTGGCGGCTGCGTATGGTGCCCGTAACTAGACGACATGGAGGAATTAATAGAAGGGCTTGGACTAGGACTAGGACTAGGATGGGGACGTCGTTGCGAATAAAGAGGCGGATCACGCGAAAACGCGGAGCTCAAATTAACGACCAAATCGACAAGATTGGAACTTGGGTAAATCCAATTATGCAAATAAGGGATCGAAACTAACCCAGAAGGAGAAACGTGGGGGTGGGGTCGTTTGATGATCATGTCGCGCGTGGGATTGACATAGACGGCGGGAGCGTAACGTGGGTAAGATTCCATGAGCCAGATGATGATGGGGATGTTGTAAGTGACGCCTTGGAAAGGCATGGGGATGGTGCCGTCCGCTTGAAGGAGGTTGACGGAACGGCCGTCGTTGTGAGTGAAAGTAGCGGTTTTGGGTTCAAGGGAAGGATAATTGGAGACGAGAGAAAGGAGGTGTTGACGAATAAGCCATTTGGTGTCTTCGGTGTAAGGGAGGGGGGAAGGGCCGCGTTGAGAGAGGACGGAGGACAGGAATTGTTGAGTTTGTTGAGGGTTTGGCGGCGGAGTAGACGACGGAGGAACCATTGGTAGAGTTGGGCGGTGGAGGAGGAGATATTGTATTTTGAGATTTGCTATTAGCTTAGCGATGGGGAAATCTTTTTCTTCTTTCTCAAGGATGAATCACTTGTATTTTTATAGATAATTTATTTAAAATTATTCTCGATAATATAATGTTATTTAATTCATTAATTTTATATGAAATTATATATTTTAAATATTTATCTAATAAAAATAATAAAATAACTCATAAATTCATACTGATAAATTATAATCAATTACAAATAAACTGTTGATATAGTGAGATGAGGTAATAAATTCTTTAAGTAAGATCAATGTTTGAATTTTGAACTCTATGAATTGAGTAAATTAGGTTGAGAGAGTCGCTCTTGCCTCTGATATATCCGATCCAAATTAGTTTATTAATAAATCGGATATAGGATCGGATATAGTTGATTATACATAAATAAAATATTACAATCAATTCAACATAACTCACAAATTACATTAATTCTTTGAGTTAATTACATCACATGTCTTCAAGTATGTATTTCATTTTAAATTGGTGTCTAAACTTTTAAATATTTTAATTTCATCTATAAAATAAGACTCTCATTCTAAATTAGTCATTAAACTTTTGAATATTTCAATTTCATCCTAGACTATTACTTTTATTCTAAATTGGTTTCTAAATTTTTTAAATATTCCAATTTCATCACAAACTATATGTACACACTAATCAAATTCCTTGTAAATAAATTCATTAGGCCAAGTTATATTATTATATGTTTTAAAAAAAATTAGGTTAAACTATAGTTCAAACTAATTATATATTTGGATGAATTTGAGGATAAAATTGGAATATTCAAAAGTTTGGGGACTAATATAGAAAGAGGGTCATAGTTTAGGGTTGAAATTTCAAAAGTTTAAGGATTAATATAGAATAATATTTATAATTTGAGGATGGAATTATAATATTAAATAATTTAATGACCAATTTAAAATTAAGATTATAGTTTGAGGACATATGGTACAAGTAACTCTAATTCTTGTCCTCCTTAAGAATTCAAGAATATAATTAGAGTTTCCATATTTCATTCAATTCAACGGAACTTATAAAGTATAATGATTGATAAAAAAATCAAATGTGTAATTATATATTTATTAATATGGAATAAGTATAAAATAATATATGTTTAAAAATAACTTTCAATTATTTAACATTGAATGTTCGTACCTTTGAAATTATTAGTACTCGAACCCGATATCTAATAACAATAATTCTTTTACCAGCGAGTTCATTGGGTCGTGCTTATATACGGTCATACTCGAATCCAATTATGGAATGACTTTTTTAAACACAGACTTATAATGTGTTTGGTCAATCACAACCCCCATTGAGTTTAAAGTGTAATTACTTATAATTTTAAGTGCGTGATATATTTGGGTAACCGTCATAATTAATAGTTCTTGTTGCGTTGAATATTTCAATTACATTTCTTAATTCTTCGAGAGGTGAAAATTAAATAATTATGCATGTAATTAAAAAAACGGTTGAGTTAATTATATTATACATCCTCAAATTATACTATCATTTTAAATTAATTCTTAAATTTTTATATATAAAACAAACAACTCATTGTATATTAATCTTTAAACTTTTAAATATTTCAAATTCATCATCAATCTATAACATTCATTCTATATTCATCAACCTCCCAATTTCAGTATACCCACATTTTGAATATATATCAACCAATGTGGTATTCACAATCCAGCTTCGAAGACATAACTATAAACAATTATGGATCCAAAAGTACCTTTAAGAATGAATATATATATATATATTAATAAATATAAAATTTTATTATAAAATAAATATAAATAAAATTTTAAAGTAAGCATAACTAATAAAATAGAGAACTAATACAAGAATATTTAAATTTTAGAATGCACACATACTTATCCTAAACAAGTCATAGATCCGTAGTGACTATGAACCGACTTCCAACTCTTAACCAATCTCATATCAATAACAAAAAAAATTGAAATAAGTTGTCATATAAATTTAAATATTTTTATAATTTTTATTAAATAATTTATTTTCACTTTTAAAATTTTAGGCAAAGTACACTGATGATCCCTGAATATAGGACATTACTTTATCGAGTACCTCAATTATTAAAAGTTACAAAATGAACATCCGACTATTCATATATTCCAAACTCGTTATTTTCCGTTGAAAAGATTGATGATTGTCTGAATTAAAAGTTAACTCGTTGACTGATATATGATAAAACCTTATCCTAGAACCGTTTGAACTGTATTTTGTGGATTGACTCTTCATTTATATTATGTCGTCAAGCTAGTGCTGTAATATTTTGCCGTCGAGCTCGCGCTTCAAATTAACGAGTGCGTCAGTAAACATCATTAAAATATTATTTTATTATATTCAATCAACATATTAACATCCAGCTTAACGGAGAGGAATGAGTTTGGAACATATGAATAGTTTGATGACTATTGTGTAACTTTTTATATCAGTAGGACTCAACAAAATAAAACCCTATAGTTAGGGATTATTTTATAATTTTTAATAATTAGAAGACTCAATAAAGAAGTGTCCTATAATAAAGGGATCATTTGTATATTTTGCCCTACAATTTTTATAAGTTGGAAGAAACAAGGATAGTAGAAATAATAGAAGAAAATTATCCGCTTGCCCTTCATCTTTCCATCATAACAACTTGACCTAAATGCAAGCTTAGCTAAACCATTCTACGCAAAGCCAGAACCGATGGTATTCCACGAAACCAAATCTCTGTGAGGCAATCCATCAAACATCTTATAAGCTTCCTCAATTTCTCTATATTTCGCTTATAAATTAACAACAGTCATTGCAAAGACATTTGAAGAAAACCCATTTTTTATCAACTATCAATGAATCTCCTTCCCCATTCAAAACCATTATTTAAATTTTATCTTAATTTCTTTGTGTTCATCACTTCCTGCAACAGACCTATTCACTGCAAAATTTGCTTGAGAAGTATTAGCAAACCTCGCCGGTGAACCGATTCCATTGATTCTCCAAGAGTTAGAAGGCCCCGAGACCGCAAATCCGCCATCGTTGATGCCGGATCTCCCATTGGAACTTGGCTGGGGATGGTTCATCATGGCTTGCGTAGGATAACCTTGAGCGAAACGATGTCCGCCGAACTGTATGGCATCCATGGATACAAAGGTTTGTGGATCATGGATCCTGGTCTAACCCCAAAGGGAGATCTATTCAAACATCCACAAATAGGGTTCAAATAAAAGGTCGAACAAGATTGGACGGAGAATACCATTCCGTCCGGTCCCTTGAGCCCTCTTGATCGACGCACGTTCTTGTCTATGTGCATTTTGGTGCCCCCCTAAGGCTTGAGGGCTAGGGAACACTTTCCTGCAGTAGCTGCAAATCAAAATCAAGGACAAAGGAGTCATAGGGCTCGTAAGGGTGACAAGATCGAGGTCCACCCTCGATTCGGATCCCGGATTGTCGTTGTTGGAGAGCTCCAAACCAGACAAAACACCAGTGATCGGCTCCATTTTCAGATGCTTTGGCAGCTTCACTGACTAAGGTTTTTGGTGTACAAACTATCAGGGATGTTTTTTAATTTATACGAGTGAGTTAGTAACGTTGCTTCAATTATGGCAAGGTATTTCATTTCCTAGTTGTCAATTTACATCTTTTTACCATAGGTAAATAAAAGAGTATATGGTGCAAATCCATGCATCAACTGTAATTATATTAATGGTTACATATATATTCTGGATATTTACTTATTATGGTAAAAATACAAATTTAGCCACCTATGCATGACTTTAAAATTGGTAACTCTATAAACTTGAAGTTCATAAAACCATTTATCTCATTAAATATCCATAGGAACTATATTTTGTTTAACTAAACCTAACCTTCGATGTTTTCCTTTCGATCGAATCGATATAATTTTAATAGAACGACGATTAAACCTTTAATTTTTTTGATGAAATTAATATATATAATCACGTGACAATATGACAATGTAAGATGATAGAAATTGTCAAGTTAATAAACTTATATCATATCATTAATAAAGCAGTGTTGACTACCACAGTGACTCCTAATTCAATATCTTGAAAATTTAACCTGTTTTTCATCATTTTCCTCGCATTAATTTTATGACCATAAAAATAAGAATAACTTCCCAACTTATTTTTTGTTTTCTTTTATATCTTTTTTTTTTTAATTTGTCGATGAGCTATTGAGTCAAATTAGGAGAATATTCATGTTATCATGAGAAAATATTTTAATAAATTTATTTTTTACTTAAACTAAAATTATAATTGAATTGATAAAATTTATAAGTAATAAAGATTAAAGTATAATTATATTAATTTTGTTAATGTCGTGTCAGTTCCTCCATTAAATGTTGACTACATGTCTCGTAACCGATTTTCGCCCGGCTACAAAATTTTTTTTACTTGGTGGGAAAAATAATATGAATAAATGGTTTTTAAAATATTTTGGGAATCGCCATCGGCCTTTTGGGTCAGGTAGGTCGAATATCTAAAAATTATCTTTAAAAAGAGTTTTTAAGAAGACATCAGTTAAAAGATAAATTGGTCTGCGTTTTAACCAAAAATTCGTTCTTTTTAATAATAAAAAAGGATTCATGATCGATTACGTTTGAGGAATGATTAGCACCCCACAACACCCAAAATTAGTACTCATTAATTATAAATTGTCTCTATTATTAGAAATTTAAATATTCAAAATATATTTTATTCATAATCCTGTTTATTTCAAATTATAATTTTAGGAAACTTTATTAATTTATATATATAAATAAGATATTTATTTATTTAAAAATATCATAAAATGACTTCTAGGTGCTTTAAAATAGCTATTTTCTTAATATTAAAAAGTAAATAAATATTAAAACATTTATTTAAAAATAGATATAATTTACAAATGTAAAATATTTATTTATTTAAAAATATCAGAAAAATGGACATTCAGTTGCTTTAAGACTGTCCTTTCTTAATATTAAAAATAAATAAATATTAATAAAACATTTATCTAAAAATAATTATAATTTACAAAAATAAAATATTTATTTATTTAAAAATAACAAAAAATGAACATCCAGTTGCTTTAAGACTGCTATTTCTTAATATTAAAAAATAAATAAATATTAAAATACTTAGATACCCTAATTAGTAATTAATCATTTAAAATTATAGGGGCTAAACATGCCATTTTACCCTATTATTAATTTAGTGACTAAAATAAACATAACTAAAACAATATAATTTAAATGTAAAATATTAAAATTCAAGGACCTAATTCGAATTTAGCCTTAATTAATTATTTAAGGGTTAAAAATAAAATTTATTAAAATTACGAGGGACTAAATAAAGTATTTACGATAAATATATAATAAATATTAACAGTGACTAAAATAAAATAAAATAAAAATTATAAGACCAAATTAACAGGTTCATAATTCAATTTCAGTGACCAACTCATAAAATTACAAAACTACAGGTATGGCAGAAAGGGTTTGCCCATAATAGAAATTACAGAAATGCCCTCCCCAAAACGGTGTCGTTTGGGAGAGGGTATATAAACCCTTTAACCGGCCTTCTTGGGCCATGCTTCCTTCATTTCTCATTTCTTCTCTCTCTATTAAAGATAGATGAAGCTCTCTCTCTTTCATCTCTCTATAATTCCCTCATCGGAGGAAAATGAGCTCTGGCCGGCAGTCGCGCTCCAACGTTGACCACCGCCGTCGGCCACCGTTAACGGTGGCTGGAAAATTCTAAAATATACCAAAACGAAGCCCTAAATACCCTAAAGCCAAAATCGAGGACCGTTTAGCCTAAAAATCCTTAACCCGACCTAGATCTAAGCTTGTTACCTTCGGTATTTTGGTTTTTTAACGGCGTAGGACGGCTCTGATGACAATAATCTCCTCGGTAAGTCTCTCTCTCTTTCTTTTACTTTCTGTTTTTCTCTTGGGTTGCTGTCGTGGTTGTTGTATGCTCTTTGTCTTTGTGTTTTTGGGTTGCTCTCCGTTTGTTTATGCCCATCCTTTTATGCAGGTTCGGTGGCCATATTTATAGGCCACCATGTATTCTCTTCGGACCGGATAATGGAGCGGTCTTCGGTGAGTCACCAAGCTATGGCATTGACTCACCATAGAGCTTCAACATGGGTGGCCATCTGGGTCTTCTGGAGACTTCGAAGAGGGTGGCAGAAGCTGGTTGTGGCACCTGGCAGTGGCATCGTCGGCAGTGGCGGTTGGAGCACTTGGCAGCAAAGGTTGAAACGTCTGGAAGCTTGGAGCGACGACGGTGCTAGGGTAAGAAACCCCAACGGACATGATACAAACCCTAGAGGGTTTGGGTTGTTTGTTGGGCTGGTTCTAGACTGGATCGGGGTCTGGGCCTCTGATGGTAATTGGGCTCCGGGATTTGTAATTGTAAATGGGTCTGTTTGTAATAATAATAATAATAATAATAAAAATAAATAATAATATAATAGTAATAATAATAAAATGAAACCAAAAACTAGTGTCTTCAACATATATCTTGATTAATATCATTTAAATAATTAAGCGAATTGATTGGTAAAATAAAAACAACAACTATCAAATTAAATTCCTCTCGTAGTTATGTGATCATAAGTATAATTTACTCGAAATATAAATACAATCAACATATCTTTATAATTAGTAATTATCACATACAATAAATAAAATCAACCATTACAAATTTACAAAATAAATAAATAATATAAATATATTTGAATTAGAACAATTGCAGAGGTCTCAATGGTTAAAAGAAATTTTATTCTTTATGGATGATCAAAGTTTGAGTGAATTTATAAACTATGTGTTTCATCCCTCGACTTTAATTTTACTCCTATTTTGGATATAAACTTTAAAAACTTACAATTTTATCATCAAATTTTCTAATTACTCCATTTTCGATTGCTAAAGTATTAAATCAAATATAATAGAGTGACATGTGTTTTTATTTTCAATCTCATCATCCCCTATCACTCTATCAATTTATATTTTTCTAAAATCTCTTTAAAATTCAATCCTAAACCTTAAACTCACAAAACTCCAACCACTTCAATCTACAATCTCCATTATTCGATTAGCATGGATCATAGTATATAGCTCGTCTCTTTCTTTTCTACCTCTCCACTATTCGGATATTGAAAAAAGATACTACATTGTTTCAAAATCAAAGAGAATTTAAAATAATTTTTTCAAAAGAAAAAAGGTTTTGGGACCATATCATAATTTTTAAAAGGTGGAATGTCCAATTATAACTTTATAAATCAAAACAAGAATAATTCAATAATCCAGTGATCAAATTCAAAATTAGTAAAGTTTAATGACCAAAAATAAAATGAAATTAAAGTTGAGTAATGAATTTTATAATTTACCTATATATAAAATAAAATCACTTTCTTATTTATCTTTTTTTTAAATATTATTTAATTAAAAATAAACCGTACTTGTCGAATCAAATATAAAATATTATAAAATTCTTAATAAAAGCAAAAAATAAAAGGAATATCTGAAAAACTCTTTGTCGGTTATGGAAACAACAAAACAACCAAATTAAATAATTACGCGTGTCACAAATAGTTCTGTCCCTCAAATCAACTAATAAAGTCAACCATCAAAACTTACCTAGCTGTGAATTTATCAACCAATATCTACTTTATTATTGTTTTTGTTTCTTCTTCTTCTTGAGTTTTAATTTTTGTCCAACTCGAAACGTATGTTGGGTTTTGAAACAAAGACTTATTTGTTTATGTTTTGGTTCTTTTAGAACTGAAGAAGATACAGAGGCAATCTTAGGAACTGAAAATGTTTTCTTTTTGGGTTTAGATTTTATTAAATTACATATATATATTCCGATTTCGTTTTGTTTTTTTTTAATAATTCAATGATCCAAATCTGACACCCAAATCATGAAAAAGAAGCTCGATACCCGTTTCCCAGCTGTAAGCTTCTATCCTTTTCTTATTTCCCTTTTGCGTTTCTCTGAATTTGTTTTTTCCCCTCTTTAATCAGATGCTAGTTTGATTTGAGTGTTTGATTTTTGGTTGATTTGATGGAAAATGAAATATGTTTTTTCTTTTTTAGTTTTTGATTCTGTGATTATTTTTGTTGCTGCGATTCTGATTTATACGATATTTTTCGTGACCTGGGTCATCATTAATTTTCCATATATTAGTTGACTGACTCTGTGTTCAATGTTTAGGGTTTTTGGATATTCAGTTTATGATTGTTTCAATAATATGGAATTTCATGGACTGTGCTGTTGTATTTGTGTTTTTCAAAGTTAGTTTAGTGAGGATTCTTTGTTTTTCGACGTTCTATGAAAATTTCATGTTGGTTTGATAATGTTTTTGATTGTTTCTTTGAAGTCAGTCGAACATTAGAAATATATGGATGTTCAATTTCCCAAGTATTGTTTGATGGTTCTTCGTCTGCAGAATGTTTAGCTTACTGACTTCTACAACTTTAGTTTCTTGTTAATTATCATGTCCTAATTCGGTCTTGACATCATTGGCATTTGCGTTACTCTGACTCATTTTTTTGGAAGTACCCTTACTCCGACCTTAGACATGGGAAAAAGTTGAACATACCTATGTCAAACACTGCCCCTATCCGACACTCACACCTAAGTTTTGAGTAACATAGCTTAGCCATGTCCTATCTTCTCACACCACACTTAGAACTTTTGTTATGTTGCTCAGTTGACGGTAATAAACCAGCAACTTACAAGGACGCCTGTTTGATGATGCTCTGACTTGATGGAACTATAGGGACATCTATGCATTGAAGATCCCATCTTCTTGTCCTGATATTCTGTATGTAGTTAACAATCTGTGTCTTGTTTGTTACTGATTTTGGGGGTTGCTGTTTATATCAGGGTATCCCGATATTAATAGGTAATGTTAATCTCTTATAATTAAGATATACATGTTTGTGGTTCCACAACTTCATTTAATGTTGTATCTTTCAAGCCATTTTCTGCCTGGAGAATATGCAAATTTTTTCTTGATTTTTTGCATATGCTTTAGGACCGTGGGTTGCATTGTCATCCTTGGTTATGAGTCATCTTCTTGGAATGATATTCCCTTGACAATGGTTTTCATATGATTTTTACCAATCTTAGCTATGATTAATGCTGAAACTTTAGAGCATATTCGTTTTTCAGGCTCGCATTAAAAAGATTATGCAAGCAGATGAAGATGTCGGGAAGATTGCATTAGCAGTGCCTGTTTTAGTTTGTGAGTGGCTATAACTTTCATGATTTACCAAAATAATTCCTCCATGCGTGTATGGTACATGCTCATGCTACTTTGTATTACTTTTCAGCGAAAGCATTGGAATTGTTTCTACAAGATCTTTGTGATCGTACATATGAGATTACTCTTCAGAAAGGAGCAAAGACAATGAATTCATTGCATTTGTAAGTGAAGAATTAGCATTAATCTTTTTGTAGCATGCGATATCTGTCGTCTGCTTTAGGATTTGACGTTATTTTCTGCATTTATACACGTTTTCATACATATAAATGTTTGATCACATGCATGTGCATTAATAATGTAGATAGCTACAATATAAATATGTCTCGCACGTTAAATGCCTTAGAAGGTTTCGGAGTTTACTTTAAAGGTTTGGTAGTAGTTTACTACCGTAGTTTTTTGGAGTTTACTTTAAAGGTTTGGTAGTAGTTGAGTACCATAGTTTTTTTCTTTTTTAAACTTTTCTCGATTTCTTTTAACTTATTTGGCTTTAATAAAAGGTTCCTCTTTAATAGATTTGGCGTAAAAACGGAAATAAAAAATATAAAGAAGAAAAGGTGAGAAGGGGAAAAGATAGTGTAGATAGATAGATAGACAGATGGACACAGAAGATTGTCCTAAATCATGTGTTGACCTGTAAGGACAGGGAAGACTTTAATTTTATGTCGGACTTGGTCCGGAATTCCTCCTGTTGGGTCCAAAAGTATTATAGATTCACTACGAAGATTACCAGAAATGGTGAATCACTATTTGGGGAGAAAGGAATCTATTTCTTCAACCTTTCTCGATCATGCTACATTTTTAGATTAACAAGCCTTGTGATCATCATGGTATCGTATTATGTGTCTTTGGATCTCGTTCTTTGTTACCCATAGTGTTGTGTATTTTCTATGTATTGACCATTTTTCTAACAAAAGCACCTAACTAAATTGCAGAAAGCATTGTGTACAGAGCTACAATGTATTTGACTTTCTGAGGGACATTGTTAGCCGGGTTCCCGACTATGGTCATGGCCATTCTGAGGCTGCTGCTACTGATGATCGAACTATTTCCCGCAGAAGGTTAGAGAAACCCAGGCTTCCCCCTTGTTTCTTACTTTTGAATTTGTGAACGAGACACTTATTTGGTGATATTTTCCCGTATCATTCTGCCAGAAAAGCTGCCGGAGATGATGCCAATGACAGTGATGAAGAATCTAAGAGAAGCAGAATGGTAAGATGGTTTTTGATTCAACTCGTGTCTGTCTGTACACACACACATATATATACACGCGCCTGCTATAAACATATAAAACATGGTATGAGTGTGTGCACAACTCTATAGGAATGAATGATGCTTTACTTTTTTCTTCGGCGATGAAAAAGTATCTGGTTTAAAGTTAATTTCTGAATTTTGGTGTACTATTTCAAAAACTTCAGTATAAGAATTACTGGGCTTGTTCACTGCAGTGCATGTTATTTTACATGAATTGTAAACTCAACTGCATTTTTTGTTTAAGTTTTCACTCGAATGTCACTATTCGGAGCATGCCATTTATATGAATTTAGGTACTTTCACTGAATTACTTCCTTCTTACATGTATTCAGCAGCACGATGTGGGTCACACTGGGACCAGTGGCCGAGGGAGAGGCCGGGGACGAGGCAGGGGTCGTGGAAGAGGAGCTCGACATGTGGAAAGAGATGCTCATCGTGAAATAGAACCAGAACATTGCTCAACACATCAGCAAAACAACAAAAGTCATTCAACCACAGGAATGGCAATAGATGATGATTCCGGGTTGAAGGAAACAGTGAAAGAGAACACTACCGGTGAAGATGTCAATCAATCCGTCCGGAATTTCGATCTGAATGCTGAGGTAGATGAGAATGTGGATGCAAAGGCCTTAGCAGCTGCTGCTAAAGTTGCTGCACCTGCAGCCTCTGCCAGTGCTGCTAGTGCTGCTGCACCAGCGGCCACTGCAGCAGTGGCAGCAACTCAGCCTTCTTTGCCAGGGCCTACAACAGAGGCTAAACACGAAGAATACCCTGGCTGGTCTCTTTCGGATATGGACAAGATGGCTATCGATCCTCTTCAACTTGCTCAGCTTGGCGGAAGGTTAGACGAGGATGAAGAAGACTATGACGAGGAAGGGTGAGTAGCTACGAAGTTGGACTCCTAGGAAACGTTAGTGGTCAAGATCAGTTTAGCACCCCTAGTGGATAAGATTGAGAAAATGCGAAAATAGTCAAGATGATCTCGTTGGAGTATGGTAAACTATCCTATGCAGGTCTCAATGGCTCAAATTCATGTCTCTTCTGTCTTTGTTTACCCATCATCGTTTACTTTCTGTTATAGCATTCACTAACATAACTTTAAAAATGGTAGATTCTCACAACTGAAAGACACTAGTTCGGGAACCTGCTCGTTATGCATTGAGAAATTTGTGGCTCCTTGTGTAACTATGATCTTATTGCATGCTCTCCATTTCGACTTAGCTCATTAACTTTACTTTCATGATTGTCAAATTCATTACTCGTCCATTTCTTCAATTGCATTAACCAAGTTCTGCACTGCAAAGAACATGTTTGCCTGCTGAGTTGCAGAACGGATTGATTCCGGTCCCTCCCCATTGCCGGAAACCAAGAAAGTTTTAGTGAAAGATGTATGGATGAATTGCAAGCTCTCTTTTCATGCGCGTGAATTATGACAACAAGGATCTAACATTAGCTTCAAGAGTAATTGAAAGTTCCATGCTGTTCAGATTGAAATTTCCTTGGCACTTGTAGTGCACCCCACCTTGAATTTCTCGTCTCCCCCATACGACCAAGTCATGAAATTAAAAATAAAAAGGAATCTGATTATTTAATTTATTGCACATATATGTTTAGTTTAACAAATGTTTTTATTTTATTTTATAAATAAATCCTAAAAATAAGAAAATATTACTTTGGTTATTTTGATTTTGACAAAAAATGACCATGTTAATTCGGTTCTGATGATTACAAAATTTATTCAATTATTGATATATAAAAATTAAACCGACCAAATCAATGACTTCCAAATCTAAAGGAACAGACCCGCTACCATCTTTGACATGTCCGACCACCTTTAACCACCATCTCTCCCATTATTCATCAACATGATTTTATTATAACCATAGCTAAAAAGTTCCATTTATTTAACACACACACACATATATATATATCATCACAAGTTTCCAAATCATTATTACAACATTCGGTACAGCACGAGCTCCATTGCGGAGGGAAAACACAGAAAATGATAAAAGTTCAAGAGATGGGGAAGACAAAAGGTACAGTCTTTTCACTGCAAATAGCATCTCAAACTGCTCCAAAAACAAATACTAAACTGCTTGGAATCAGACACTGCACGTTTGAGATACTTTGAAACCATGGAGGATTTTATTTTTCTTAAAAAAAGCGAAAAAAAACATGAGTTTTGAAAAATGCTCATGTGAGATTCATCCTCGGGTTCCCGAAGCAGTGAAAAAGAAGACGAGAATCAGGATGTCTTCTCCATCAAAAAGATGTATGATGAAAAACATAACCGGAAACATAACTAAGGTCTAAGGATGATAGTATGTATGTAAGCATATGTTATGACTTTCATTAGTCCTCACGAAAACTAATACGGTTGACGATGGTTTTGAATTTATCTTCGATCATGGATTAAGCATCACCTGTCGTATCGATTCAAAAACCAAATCATATGTCAAACTTTCAGTGCATCAGAAATAAGAATTTCATGAAGAGAAATCAATCTCTCAAACATCTAGTACGTAGTAGTTATGTTACTTTGACTCGGATGTGTGTTGGAAACGGTTTTATTTCGCGATTGAATGCTCAAAATATGCCAGACTGCTTGCTTGTAACAACTGAGTTGAAACTAAAATTGTACAAATTACTGGTTAGTAGGACAAACCTCGTACTGTTCGAGCAAGGAAGCAAACAATGTTGCTTTTCCTTGAATGAAAAATTTCTGGTAACCAGCACCGAAGGGAAGAAAAGCTGCGTTCTCATTCAGATCATTCAAAACAAAAGAATCCTTCATTTGATCGTTCAGTTCTTCAGCTTGTCCTGAAGTGAAGAAAAGCAATTGGATAATTATCTATATTATCACACTGTGACACTGAATGCAAACTAAATCCAAAAGAAGGTTAAGCCCCATATCCGGAAGGACCGACATGATCATGACACGTTGAGTATTAATGAACTAACGATCATAATTCAAAACATGACACTGAATATGAAAGGGAAAAACGAAATCGAGAAGTATCATAGCTTTGTGCTAAATTGGAAAGTAGAGTGAAACCTGCAACGGATGTATCCATATTCAGTGAAAGCGGATAATTTTTCCGTCTTACACAGAAAATGATACGGACTAAATTTACCAGCATCATTTCCCCAACTGGAATCATTCGTCTGCACCAACTGCACAAGTACAACAACTATTGCTCCAGCCGGTACAATTACGCCAGACTTAACCCTCAAATCTTCAAAACACAGATTGAAAACATTTGTATCAGTGACCATACAATTAGTGTTATAACTTATGAAACCGCAACCATCACGGGTTCTAAATCTCAAAAGGATAATATGATTTCAAATGAGAAATAAAACCTCTCGGTTTTACAAAAAAAGAAATTCATTTTTAAAGCATAAATTAGGTAATAAAATGTCCGAAAAGTAAGGTGGTTAGCGGACTCTGAATGGTCCAAAATGTATAGAAATTCGAGGTTTTGACAAAGTGCTGAAAAGTTTTTTTTGCAAGTTCGATGTCCATATTCAATGTAATTCTCGTTTAATGATCAAGGAAGACATTAAAAAGTATATCTAATGTCAAAATTTTCCAATTTCAATCTTAAAAAATTGCTCACCATGTTGAGGGAACACCTCAGTAGCAACGGTCCAGCTGGCATAACACGAGCAGGCTCATAGATAGCTGCCAACAATAAAGTTATCTTCTCTACAATAGGTTGATCTTTGTCCTCTGAACCTTTCCATGCCATGATTATCTCTGAGCTGATCTGCAGAAGTTCAATTCCGAAGACATAAATCAACTGCAATCTGGGACCATCAACTCCAAACTCAAATGTAAAAACACACACATATGCCGAGTGATGAAGGATCATTTAAGTTCAGAAGAAGTCTCCAAGTACTTCCCAAGACTAGCAAAGTAATTGATGACTCGGAAGAGATGAAATCTACCTTATGCTGTATTTCGGGATGTGTAACAAGCCTCATCAACATGTTACTAATCAAACCTCCTGTCGTTAAGCATCCATGAAACAGCATGCCCATAATATTGCCATAAGGTTCATCTCTTACATTAAGATGGCCATTAAACTTGTAATTTTTACCGCACTCCCGAACAAGGTCTCTAGTTAGGCATTTCAACCTTGTACATAATCGTCGATACCTCCAGAATCCTCGTTCCTAGAAGGGAGTAACACTATACGAGGCCCAAAAGCATGTATCTTTAGCAACCATCATCAAGAGCTCCTCGTAAATAGTAACTGTCACCAAAGATTGTAGCGCCGAGCAGAGTGAAAGCCATATGCTGAGAAGTCATTTTACAATCGACAAGTCCTTTGGCCTTATTCTGGTGAAATTCAGGCATGATAAGATTGACAGCCGTGGTCGGGATTAAATTTGCTCTATCAAGCAACTTTACATTCAATTCAGATGCCAATGACTCTCTTCTCTTTTCTACCTTCAGATGATAAATGGAAAAAAAATCCGTAGATTATCAGAAGGTTGTTCGATCATGCCATTGAAGTAAAATTGAATATGCAAGAAAACATTCTGTTGGAACAATTTGAAGATCAAACACAACATATTATCCATATGGTGACCGCAACGCCAAAATCATCAAAAGTTTCAGCTAATAGTTCATGTCTAATTACAAAGACTCAAAAGGCCAAATTAAAACCTAAGTCAAGTTGGCCCTTAAACCATATTATTATTACCTAATTTTATTTTCATTTAAACCCTAAATTTTGAGAGATTTGATTGGATTTGAGCAGGCAACCAATACCACTAGAGCTCAAATTGAACTGTGATCCTCAGACTTCAAGGGGGAGCTCGAGCTTAAACTTCTAACATATTGAGCTCCACTCTGTTCGATTACGTCCCTATCTATCGACTCGGATAACCAGCAACCATCTTCTCCACAAGTTTAACAAAAGCAATAGCAGCTAAAAGAATTTGTAGCTCTGAAGTAGCTTATCAAAAGAGGAAGCAAAGAGGGTGGATGATCCAAAGGTCAAATGAAAAGCCTTTCCGGTCAATGGCAGTTTATCCTTAGCCTTCCAAAACATCTTTTTGATGACTTCTGGTTCTTTTATTGAAACCAAAAGCTGATTTGGAACCAACCATAGCTTCACTATTGAACCATATTCACCATGTGAATCTGACAATACCTCTGCACAAATATATAGATACATACATAAATACCAAGAAAAATAACAGATTTAAACAAACAAAGTAAATCCAGATTCTAAAAATTCAAAATTTAGGTACTGATCATTCTTCTTCATACAAAAGATGAAGCTTTACTGGTTAGAGTACATGGTTGAAAAGTCAAAACACTGATTCTGGAAAATACAAGAACAACCCAGAATCCAAAAGGCACAGAGATTCATCTTTTACATTAAAAATCATGAACAAGAAAAGAATGTAGTTTTAATACCTGTGAGATTTTGTTTGGAGAGAGTACTGAAATGGCCATAAAAGGAAGGAGAAGGAGGGCCTGGAATTTTGGAACCCTGATCCCATAACTTAAAGAGCTTAAACGACCTGTGAGTAAGAAAATAAGTGATGGATATAAGAGAAATCCAAAGAAAAGCGTTGATTTCCCAAACAGCATAGTCTCTGAGAAAACGAGAAGTGTTCCGGGAAAATTCACAGGAACCCGGAAGATTCCACGCTTGTAAAACAAAACAAAGAAGAGGGTTCATTTTTCTTCTGCTTATTCATTCTTCTTTACACTGTTTCATAAGTAGGGGAAAAGTTTGGCTAAATTACATAACTGACACTTTTTGTTTTTAATTTTACTTTTCTAACACCGTTCGACCAATATTTCCAAAACTAGCATCCTTTCTGCTGAGTTGGCAAAGGCGCGTTCCCGGGGACGCGCTTTACCCGTGTTTTCGCTGAGTTGGATGCCACGTGTGAAAGGCGCGTCCCCGGGGACGCGCCTTTGCCATATCAGCAGACACGTGTGGAAGGCGCATCCCCGGGGACGCGCCTTCCATTAAATGTCATAAATACCCCCATCCGTTTTTCCTAACTACCCCTCCTCCTCCCCTATATAAACCCCCTCAACCCTCACTCATTCTTCACACCAAAATCATCTTCTCCTCTCTTATATAACTCAAATTCTCCAACTATTTGAGTTTTAAATTTGTTATTAGTGGTAAGAAATTTATTTTTATGTT